TCCCAAACGTTGGCTTGGGATTACAGGCTGAGCCACCGCCACACGGCCCTGGCCTTCCATGGAATTTTTAATCATTCTTCCCAAAGACTTTATCCAAAGCAAATATAAAGTAATAGATTATCAATATTCTCTCAACCAAAATGCGGCCATATATAATACAGTACACTTACTTTTCACTCACACGTATCCCTTGGCCAAACTTTCCAATATTCCAATTACATGAGTTTATCAACTGCCCTCCTTTTTTTTTTTTTTTTTCGAGGCACGAGGCTTGCTCTGTCACCCAAGGCCTGGAGGTGCAAGTGGTACAGTCCTTGGCTCAACTCCAACTTCTGCCTCCTGGGGTTCAAGCAGTTCTCCTGCCCTTGGCTTCCCGAAAAGCGGATTAACCAGGGTCACTGCCATCCATGGCCTGGCTACCTTTTATATTTTAGTGGAGACAGGGCTTCACCATGATTGCGCCAGGTTGGTCGTCAACTCCTGACTCAGGTACTCTGGCCCCCTCGGCATCAAGGTGGCTGGAATTACAGCGTGAGCCCTGTGCTGACCCCTCCTTGTGTTTTATAATATGTGATACTGCATTGTGTTCATATACCCATCGTTTTTTTTTTTTTGAGATGAAGTTTCTTCTCGTTGCCCAGGCCTTGGATACAATGGTGTGATCTTCGGCCTCACCACCACTCACAACTTCCGGGTCCGGGTTCAAGCGATTCTCCTGCCTCCGCCTCCTAAGTAGCTGGAATTACAGGCATGTGCCATGACACCTGGCTAATTTTGTGTTTTTTAAGTAGAGACAGGGTTTCTCCATCTTGGTCAGACTGATCTCGAACTCCTGACCTCAGGTGATCTGCCCGCCTCAGCCTCCCAAAGTGCTGGGATTACAGGCTTGAGCCACTGCACCCGGCTGATATACCATGACTTTTTAAGCAATCATAGATGTTTGGGTGGTCCCATTCTTTTGCTATTATAAATAATGCTTCGTGAAATAACCATGAACTTAGCTCTTTTTACATGTATACAAGTGTTTGTAGGATAAATTCCCCAAAAATGGATTTGCTAGGTCAAAGGTATATGCGTTTGCAACTTTTTCTTTCTTTTTCTTTTTTTTTTGAGATGAATTCTCTCTCTGTTGCCCAGGCTGGAGTACAGTGGCAGCTCACTGCAACCTCTGCCTGCCAGGTTCAAGCAGTTCTTCTGTCTCTGCATCCCAAGTAGCTGGGATTACAGGTGCATGCCTCCATGCCCGCCTCCATGCCCAGCTAATTTTTTGTATTTAGTAGAGACAGGGTTTCACTGTATTGCCCAGGCTGGTCTCGAACTCCTGAGCTCAGGCAATCCGCCCGCTTGGCCTTGCAAAGTGCTGGGATTACAGGTGTGAGCCACCACGCCTGGCTTTTTTTTTTTTTTTTTTTTGACGGAGTCTCGCTCTGTCGCCCAGGCTGGAGTGCAGTGGCGCGATCTCGGCTCACTGCAAGCTCCGCGCCCAGCCTTTTTTTTTTTTTAAAGACAGGATCTTGTAGGCTGGACATGGTGGCTCATGCCTGTAATCCCAGCACTTTGAGAGGCCAAGGTGGGCAGATCATGAGGTCAGGAGTTTGAGACCAGCCTGGCCAATATGCTGAAACCCTGTCTCTACTAAAAATACAAAAATTGCCCAGGCATAGTGGTGCGCGCCAGTAGTCCCAGCTACTTGGGAAGCTGAGGCAGAAGAATCACTTGAACCTGGGAGGCAGAGGTTGCAGTGAGCCGAGATTGTGCCACTGTACTCCATCCTGGGCAACAGAGTGAGACTCTGTCTCAAAAAAATAGGCCAGGCGCGGTGGCTTAAGCCTGTAATCCCAGCACTTTGGGAGGCCGAGACGGGTGGATCATGAGGTCAAGAGATTGAGACCATCCTGGCTAACACGGTGAAACCCCGTCTCTACTAAAAAATACAAAAAACTAGCCGGGCGCGGGTGGCGGGCGCCTGTAGTCCCAGCTACTCGGGAGGCTGAGGCAGGAGAATGGCGTAAACCCGGGAGGTGGAGCTTGCAGTGAGCTGAGATCCGGCCACTGCACTCCAGCCTGGGTGACAGAGGGAGACTCCGTCTCAAAAAAAAAAAAAAATAAAGACATGCTCTTGCTCTGTCACCCAGGCTGCAGTGCGGTGGCTCAAACTCCTGGGCTCAAGCTGTTCTCCTGCCCCAGCCTCCTGAATAGCTGGGATTACAGGATAATTTTTTAAATTGTTAGTAGAGACTAGGTCTTGCTGTGTTGCCCAGGCTGACATTTGCAGTTTTTCTCAGTATTTTCAAAGTCCTTTCCTTAGGTATTATACCAATTAATATTTCTGGTTTTGTTTGTTTGTTTGTTTGTTTTTTTGAGACAAGAGTTTTGCTCTTGTTGCCCAGGCTGGAGTGCTGTGGCATGATCTCAGCTCACCACAACCTCCGCGTCCTGGGTTCAAGCAGTTTTCCTGCTTCAGCCTTCCCGAGTAGCTGGGATTACAGGCATGCGCCACCACACCCAGCTAATTTTGTATTTTTTAGTAGAGACAGGGTTTCTCCATGTTGGTCAGACTGGTCTCAAACTCCTGACCTCAGGTGATCCACCCGCCTCAGCCTCCCAAAGTGCTGGGATTACAGGATGAGCCACTGTGACCGGCCACCAATTAATATTTCCATCAGCAAAAATGAGAGTGTTTTTCTACAATCTCATCACAGAATTAATAGTCAAACTTTTAGAATTTGCCAATCTGAAAGGTAAAAAATGGTAGACTATGTTTGCTAATAAGGCTGTATTTTAAAGTAGGACTGTTAAGAGGTGGCATATTCTGATCTGTCTGAAATTAGTCAAAATTTCTAGAAATTTAAAAGTTTTCACCAGGTACAGTAGTTCATGCCAGTAATCCTAGTGCTTTGGGAGACCAAGGCAGGAGGATTACTTGAGGCCAGGAATTTGAGAACAAGCTGGGCAACACGGCAAGACTCCATCTCTACAAAAATGTTTTTGTTTTAAATTAGCTGAGAATAGTGGCGCATGCCTGTAGTGCTAGCTACTCAGGAGGCTAAGGCAGGAGGATATGGTGGTATGCACCTGTAGTCCCAGCTAAGTGGGAGCCTGGGGTGGAAGGATCACTTCGGCTCAGGAGATTAAGGTTGTAGTGAGCTATGATTGCACCACTGCACTTTAGCCTGGGCAACAGAGGGAGACCCTGTCTCAAAAAAAAAAAATTCTAGAAATAAAAATTCACTAAACATAAAGAAATGCCAACTATTTATGTTTTGATTACTTAAAATAAATTTCAGACTGGGCGCTGTGTCTCATGCCTGTAATCCCAGCAGTTTGGGAGGCCAAGGTGGGCGGATCACTTGATTGAGGTCTGGAGTTTAAGACCATCCTGGCGAACATGGCAAAACCCCATCTCTCCTAAAAATACCTAAATTAGCCAGGTATGGTGGCACACGCCTAATCCCAGCTACTCAGGAGGCTGAGGCAGGAGAATTGCTTGAACCCAGGAGGCAGAGGTTGCAGTGAGCCAAGGTTGCGCCATTGCACTCCAACTTTGGGCTACAAGAGGAAAACTCTGTCTAAAAAATAAATAAATAAAATAAATTTCAGTGTATTTATTTATATTGTCCCACATTTTTGGTGGTTCTCATATTTGCCTTTCTAATTATGACAACTGTTTTCTTGTGTAGGTATTATCAAAACCAGTACCACTGCTGAGAAAACAGATGAAGAGGAGAAAGGTAACTACTCTTGGATGCCCTTGGCAAGAGACAGTATGACTCAGGGCTTGCCTTCCTGGAGCCAGAGGCACTCCAAGCTACAAGATCCAGGAGATGAGAGGAATCAGAGAAAGAATAGTCAGTGAGAGGAGGAGAAGCGAACAAGTCCTGAAGCAGTGGCTCATGCCTGTAATTCCAGCACTTTGGGAGGCCGAGGTGGGAGGATTGCTTTGGGCCAGGAGTTCAAGCCCAGCCTGGGCAACATAGGGAGACCCCATCTCTACAAAAGATTTCAAAATGAGCTGGGTGTGATAGCACACACCTGGACTCCCAGCTACTTGGGAGGCTGAGGTGGGAGGATCGCCTGAACCCAGGAATTCTAGGCTACAGTGAGCTATGATTGTGCCACTGCACTCCAGCCTGGGTGACAGCAAGACCCCATCTCTAAAATAAATAAATAGAGACCTATCAGTGTGATGGTTTTTCTCCAGCCATGCTTGACTGCCCAGCTGCTAGTGTGGAGAGGGAGAAAGAGTGGCTTCATAAGCGTGGGGTTTGCCTGATGAGAATGAAGATCTACTGGTTTCTTCCTGACAGAGGACAGAGCTGCCCAGTCCTTACTCAACAAGCTGATCAGAAGCAACCTTGTCGATAACACAAACCAAGTAGAAGTCCTGCAGCGGGATCCAAACTCCCCTTTGTACTCGGTGAAGTCGTTTGAAGAGCTTCGACTGTGAGTATTCGCTCCTTTCAACAGCTCTTCCTTGCCAGTCTCTCCCCACATAAAACTGCATCTCAGAAATTCTTGTGAGAATTTTTACTTTTAAAAAGTTAGCATTTTTTTTTCTTTTTTTTTTTTTGAGACAGAGTTTCACTCCTGTTGCCCAGGCTGGAGTGCAATCGCGCGACCTTGGTTCACTGCAACCTCTGCCTCCTGGGTTCAAGCGATTCTCCTGCCTCAGCCTCCCAAGTAGCTGGGATTACAGGTGCGTGGCATCACACCCAGCTAATTTTTTGTATTTTTAGTAGAGACAGGGTGTCACCATTTTGACCAGGCTGGTCCTGAACTCCTGACCTCAGGTGATCCGCCCGCCTCGGCCTCTCAAAGTGCTGGGATTACAGGCATGAGCCACCGTGCCTGGCTATTTTTTTCTTCGCGAAGAAGTCACATGAATAAATCACATGATTCAAAAGTCAAAAAGTATGAAAACATTTGCAGTATTAATTTCCCCCCCTAGTGTCTTGGCTACCCTGTTCTCTCGGTAGGAATTTTTTAATGCTTCAAATTTATTAATCATAGCTAAAAGTCTTATTTCTCTTATACTCTTAGAACTTTCAATAAAATATTGGCTGACAGGTGATTTCTGGATGTCAGGAACATTTCTGATTAGGTAAGCCCTTAAGTGAGAACATGTGCTACGTGGGGCCTTTTCCTTTTAGAAACTCCCCCTGGTGTGATTTTTCTTAACATCCCTGTCCCAATAGAGTAGCAGAGAGCTTATGGTTAAATGCGTGATAAGAGCAACGTAAATGATAATTCTTGATAGCTGCTACAAGAGGTTGTGTCCAGGTGCGGTGTTTACGCCTGTAATCCCAGCCCTTTCGGGAGGCCAAGGCCGAGTGGACTCTTGTTGCTCAAGAAAGTTCCAAGACTTGCCGGCCACATGGTGAAAACCCTTCTCTACAAAAATTTTAAATAATTAGCCGGGTTTGATGGCAACGTGCCTTGCAGCCCCAGCGACTTGGAGGGCCGAGGTGGAGGATCTCTTGAGGCCCCGGGAGGTGTCGGTGCAGTGACCCAACCTCAACCACTGCATCGCAGCCCTGCAACAGAGTGAAGTCTCCAAAAAAGAAGTTTAAGTATGGTAATCTGTGTACTTTTGATTAGACCTAAGTGTGATCTTGAGCATTGTAAGTTTAGGTAGTGTTAATGAACAACTTTAACTGTTTATACAGCAGCTTACTAGAAACTGGCTTCATCATTTCTTTTTTTCCGCTGGCGCCAGTGGCTCACGCCTGTTATCCTAGCACTTTGGGAGGCCGAGGCAGTGATCACTGAAGATGTAAAGACCAGCCCTGGCCAACATGCGCAAATCGCGCCCCCTGTACAAAAATAACAAAATACCAGGTGTGGCAGTATCCCGCCTGTAATCTAGCTACTCAGGAGGCTGAGTGTAGGAGACTCGCTGGAACCCAGGGACAGAGGCGCAGGGCAGGCAACATCACGCCATTGCAACTCTAGCCTGAGTGACAGAGCAAGATTCCATCTCAAAAAAAAAAAAATTCTTTTTTCGTTTCTTTTCTTTTTTTTTTAAAGGATGACCTGGCCTGTTGCCCGCCCAGAGGTGCAGGGGGCAATCTAAGGGCTCACTATAGTCTCGAACTCTTAGCCTGTTCAGGCATCCTCCTGCCTCGCAGTCTCCCCCAAGAGCTAGGACTACAGGTGCATGGCACCTTGCTAGCTCATTTTGAGAGGACAGGGTCCCACTGTGGTGCCAGGGCCAGTCTCTTTTTTTTTTTTTTTTTTTTTTGAGACGGAGTTCTCGGCTCTGTCCGCCAGGGCTGGAGTGGCAGGTGGCGCGGATCTCAGCTCACTGCCCAAGCTCCACTCCCGGGGTTTACGCGCATTCTCCTTGCCTTCAGGCCTCCCCGAGTACTGGACTACAGGCGCCGCCCCTCGCCGGTAGTTTTTTGTATTTTTAGTAGAAACGGAGGTTTAACACGTTG